TGTCGATCTGGGCTGATGCTTTCAGGAGGAAATGCAGGACATCCTTGGTCGCACAGCAGGGGACGCAACTAAGCAGCTCATGTGATAAGCACTGGCCGAATCCCGTCGTTGTCTCAAATCATGTGTCACATGTCTATATATGCATAATTATGGATACACCGTGAGATACACCGTGACCTTTTAGTTTTGCTGTTTGGCTCATGCGGAGCCAACTACAGTATATATATATATTTACTTACTTGGCAAGTGCATCCAAACGGCACTTGCCAAACTCAGCCTTTCAAAGCTGCACTGTACGGACAATTTCCCTTAGGTAGCACTCATCTCACTTTCCAAATCAACCCAACTTTACATAGTCTTACCACTCCTGGCCCACCAAGTATCCAAATGCCCATTCTGAGCTGCAATGTGCAAAGCGCTTGCGCCGCCCGCCTCACACAGATCTGCATCTGCTTGGGCCTCGAGGAGGTGACCTCATCAAGGGCGGCTCCACTCGGGGCTCCAGGGGCCGTGGGTCACTGTGACCTTCTTCTGGGATGAGATGCAAATAAGGTAGAAACGCCAGTGCTGGCATGTAAGACTCTCCCCCGTTGTTGTCAACAAACAGGAAGCAACTGAAACATATGGAAGCCAAGGGACACACTGCTTCCACATGATTCTCTTGCGCTGCAATGTACAAGGGTGACGTCCCAACGTCAGTGGTGTGATTCAAGGCTGCCTTTCCCATCAACAAGGTCACCACCACCTCTGCATGCCCACTCTGCGCCGCGATGTACAAGGGTGTCACCTGTGAGTCGAGCGAGCCTAAACATGCTTTTTCAGGCCAAGTGAGTGCTGTTGTCCGGTCATCCCACAAGGTCAGGGCTCCCACCACTTGGCACGAAACAAATCAATCACTGCAAACAGTCACAACATCTCACACTTACCCCCGCTTGCAAGATCTTGCGGGCAAATCTGCAACCATTTATATATAATCGTCATAGATTGTGAATGCTTGGATCATGTCGCATGGGCGTGACACATGACAATCACCCGCAAGAAATGTCAAGAACACCCCTCTGCCGAATCTGGCTGCCCAACATTAACCACAGTTCAGCATAGTACATCATGTGATTTGATACCACAGTTGAAGCTTGATGGCTCGGTTTGCTGCATGAGAGTGCTGGTTAATCTGACACAGTGCGGACAAGTCGCATCATGACTCCTGGCTTTGTCAATGCTGGCCCTTGCTTGAATCAAACACTGGACCACATCAAGGTGTCCCATCTGTGCCGAAATGTACCTGCACTGGCAAATTGGTTGCAACAATTTGCTACCAAACCTGTTCGGCACTCCAATTGATGGAGATCTTCTAAAGCGCAGATTGTGGTGGCCTCATGGGGCCTCCCTCGTTCGGAATCGAGTTTGAGAGGCTGACGCAAACTCCACCACGTTCTTATATAATCTTTCTTCCCACTGCTTCCAGTTACTGTACTTCCATGCTTCTTCAAACCTCTGTCAAATATCCAACATTGCATGCTTCCGGCTTTTGGTCTTCAGTCCGGTCCTGGATGCTATCATTGGTGGGACCCTCAGAGCACTCGCGGCCAATAGAATTAGTCTAGGATCGGCGAGTGATAAACAGTTCTGCAAGGCGCACCACCTCCATGGTTGCTTGCAATTGCATGGCCTCCAAGCTAATTACTAGCAATGGCCTGCAACCTAATAGCGGTATTCCTGGATAGTTATAGTTATTCCTTTCACTTGAGAAATCTTTGAATTGTCCATTACAATTCGCCACGGTGCAAAGGTGTAGCCCCATGCGTCTCGGCCAAATCCGCTGCAGCGCGGTGCTCCAGGAGCGTTTCACAAATGGCCAAGTAGCCTTTGGACGCCGAGGCAAACAAGGCCGTGGCACCGGTGTCCTGCGCCGAAACGGAGATGGAACAGCGCTTTGGAGGTAGCTCCATTAAACAAGACATAATATATAGAAATAGAAGAACGGTATTACAGAAGAGTCATGGAACTGTTTAAGATTTGTTGCGTCCAAATACTGTATCCAAATCCGTCGCCCAGCCAGAACATCACAACGTGCTTCAGACCGGCACAAAATAGTGTGCAATCAAACAATTAAAATATTATAGACTTATATATACATATATGCACATATGATCACATATGTGTATACAGTATCGGTTCTTTTTTGTTGGCGTCCTTGGCGGCATTCACGTTCACCTTCGCCTTCAGCAAGCACTGGGCAACGTCCAAGTATCCTTGCATCGAGCAATCGCTGACCCCAAAGGATGCCAATGCACTAGACTGACTAGACCTTTTTGCCACAAAGTATATCCATGCATCTCCCAATGCTATGCGATCTGTGGAGGATGACAACGCTATGTAACATGCTGAGGCTTTCGATCACTACTACAGTAGCCATGATGCGTAGAAATGGGAATTTGTTTCTAAGCAGCCCCGGTTAGAGCCGGATTCGGAAACTAATCGGTCGGATTCTGAAACTAGGGTTCTGAAACTGGGGTTCTGAAACTAGGGTTCTGACACTTGGATTCTGAAACTGGTGTTCTGAAACTAGGATCCTGAAACTGGGGTTCTGAAACTAGGGTTCTGAAACTGGGACTCTGAAACTTGTATTCTGAGACTGGAAAGTCAGATTCTACAACTGGTATTCTGAAACTTGGATTCTGCAACTGGGATTCTGAAACTGGAAAGTCAGATTCTGCAACTGGCATTCTGAAACTGATATTCTGCAACTGGTGATCTCCACATCATGCGATAGCGTGTGCCTGTGACTTCATCTTCGAAGCACATCCAAACCAACGTCATTAGCCCCTCCCCAAACCCCCCACCCCCCCTTGTCCCCATAGTGTGATCTCGACATCACGCCAACCCCCTCATCATTCACAAAAGTTGCGGAGTCCTAGTGAGGGACTCCACAATTTTGCGGAATCCTAGTTGCGGAACGCCAGTTGCGGAATCCCAGTTGCAGAATCTTAGTTGCGGAATCCTGACAGTTGCGGAATCCTAGTTTCGGAATTATAGTTGCGGAACCCTAGTGCGGAATCCCAGTTGCGGAATCCTAGTTGCGGAATCCTGCGCAGTTGCGGAACTCGACTTTATCCAAGCAGCCCCTGTCCACTGCCACATGCAAGGCGAAGATTTGCTGCTCACCCTCAACATCAGCTCCAGCGGTTAGAAGCGCTGCTACTGTGTCATGGTGGCCCTGCCAAGATGGTCTGCGCAGTACTTCCAATGAGGGGGTTACATGAAAACCATGAAGAGCATGTATAAGGCCCCGTGAGGCCATGAGGAGCCTTTAATATCCTTCATAAACATGAAAGTCACATATAATTGACAAGCGGCCCTACTGTGAAGAGGCTTTCAAAATCAAAGGGCAAAATGAAGGGCACTTGGAGTTGGTTGTGCTGCAGCACTTCATTTGTCGAGTTAGTTGACAGTGTGAAGCGGAGTACGTTGAACCTGAAGAGGCAAACATGTGATAGGGTCGGAAACAAGTGTTGCACTTGCAAAATCTTGCAAAGGGCCGCACGCCAAAAGCCTGCCTGCTGGGCTGCCATCAGTAGTGCACTCTGTCCCTTGTGCGTGACATTGTGGGGGCATGCCCGCTCCTGGATCAAACCCGACATGATGCATTTTCGCTCTCCGTCTGGAATGGATCCGTGTTTGTACTCATGCATGATAATCTTTTACATCTCGGCCCTCCTCTCCATTCATGATTCTGAATCCTTCGGACGAATAGACTCCCTTCAAGTTCAATCCAGGGTCACAACATTCATACATATTCATACAATACCCACGGCATGATGTATCTGATTATCTACATCCAAGGTGGGTCACTACCCTGCCCGCCAATATTGCCTGCTGAAGTACTACTCAAAAGGGGGCCCTGCGGCCTGCACTTCTTCCAAACACTTCTGTGGCTTGCTATGCTTTTGTGCATTGCTGTCACCCCAGCTGGTCCAAATCCACAACAGCTCTTGCCCATGTCCAGCACACAGGGGCCTTCAGCAGGCATTTGAGCACTTCCGTATGTCCATTCTCTGCAGCGATGTGTAAGGCTGTCACCCCGTCCTTGCTGTCTTCATCGACGAGATGCGAAGAGTCTGTGAGAGGAGCAAAAATAGGGCCACTGAGCATGAGCCAATGAGTGTTTCTCTGGAAACCAAATCAAGAGCACCCACTAACAAAGGGTTGTGTCAGTTATGTCCAAACATTGAAAGTATGGTGCTATTGCTGTGTGTTGCGGACCTGTAAATCATCTCGGGGGGTTGCCCTCACATGCAGATCTGTCAAGCACCTCCTGTTCGCCTCTGCTCTCCTTTCGCTCCGTCTCCACTGCCGCTGAGGTTCAGTTCGAGCGGGGCGGTCTGGCTGCGGCTCTTGCCCCTTCCAAACAAGCTCTTGGAGTGATCTGGGTCTTGGCAGCTAGCTATTTCAGAGCTGTCTACGGAGCCTTTCTTCAACAAGGGCCAAGGAGCTCAATGTTTCAATATCTTTCAATAGATCGCCCTCTCTTGATGAAACTGCTACATTGGCAAATCTTGCAAACATAGCAACATTGTGATGTACCCGTGCCTCAGTGCTCCCCTTCCACCAGTGAAGTAACCGTGAGGCCACCGCCACTGACGGCATCGCACAGGGCTATGAATGGGCTGCACTGGGTTATGGCCCAAGCAAACCGAGTCGATGTCACAGAATGGTGACATAGATGAAATGACCAAACAGCTGGAATGCACCTATTGGAACAATAATGACAATACTGCAACATGAAGGTGATATTGTACGTCTTTGGCTCTGCTAGGCTGTTAGAATCCTTCTGAATCTTGGGTATTGTGAATTAGTGGTTGCTTGATCTTGTGTGTGTGTTTACCAATTGTTACCATGATTTCCCTTGGCCATTGGAGCCTCCTCGTTGCCTAGAGGCACGTGCAACGGCGCAGCGCATGTGTCGCAACTACGTAACTTCAATGACCCACAACAGCACTCCCAACAAAGATCGACAATTCGTGGCAAGGGCTGGCATCCACGAGACAATACTCCTCCACAGTATCTATTGAATAATCTACTGTATTGCGATTTGCGGTCCTACTCTTCATGTCTGCTAGACCCGGCACTTTGAGACACATTTCTCATCTCTCGGATGTTCATTCTTCCGGGAAGCCGCCTTTGGTGGTCTCTTCCCCATTTGGCGCAGCGAAATGGAGCGCGTTCCAGCTGTGCCAGGCCATCGTGTTTGGCTCCGTCAGGTCGATCAGTCAAAAAACATCGTCTCCATCTACTTCTTGGCCAAAACCCAAATCCAGGTCATACTTTCAGTTGCACTCAGTGGAGGCAACTCTCCGGACTCTAAGCAGGACAACTGGGCGGCCTCGAGTTCATCTCGGAGCTGTGCTTCAGACATGCCATCCTCGTAACTCAGCTCGGTCGTTCCTGAGTGAGAGAGAGAGAGGGAGAGTGTCGCACGTCTTGACAAGTATTGAAGTACCATCATGAAGTACCTATAATAACCGTTTGCCCCTCTCATCATCTACTTCCTTAAAAAGGTGTAAGTTGGATGAATCACCGGGGAGTGATCGATTCCTACAGATTTTTGGTGTTGACCGATCCTCAAATCGCGCACCATGTGATGTCGGGCTCAGCTTGTGAGCAAACTTAGATAAACTTAGTGCTGCAGGTATCCACCCAGGTGCCGATGGCCTCACGAAGCAATCACATCTTTTCTGGGCCTGCAAAGCCTCAAACGTCCACACCTCTTTGCATAGGAGAGGAGATGAACTGACATTTATTTATTTGTGGGGCTACGCCACTAAACTCTCAGCTGGGCTGCTGCTTCTGTCTCTCACTGGGGCATCCGGACCTCAAGGGTTTTCCCAGAGCGAGCAGTGTGGAAACCCCGAAAGGTGTGCCAGAAAAACACGTTCTGTCAACATCTGAAGCCTGAGGTCTCCTTGCACCTGACGTTCACATGCCCCCATTGGTCTTGCCGGTGAACAGTTCAATAAGTAGAAATACACGAATCTCACAAAAAAAACAATCTAGTGTCAAAACAAATTGATTATATAAATCATATAACTTGTTTGAATCTCGCACAGTTCCTTTTCGCAGCAGCGAATCAGCTCAAGGGCCCTGTTCAGCCGAAACAGCAGCGACGGTGCATCAACTGTACGCAATACACCCTGGCTACAACAGCTGAAATTCACACCCGTCTTATCTACAGGTGTGTTGCGGGCTTTACAGTTCAAGTTGTACAAAGGCAGCCAAGCAACTCTATTCCCCGTGGGGCCGTAAACCATGCCATTCCATGTCGAATTCTCAAAACAAGTCAGGTGAGACTTCTTCATCTTTCTTCTTGGCTCCCTTCTCGCATGTGCCACTGTTCTCGACATTCACAAGGCCACTTTCCAGTGTCTTGAGGAGGTAGTCCGGCTTCATGCTCTTGGTTAGCGGGTCTGCCAATTGCTTCGATGTCTCAATCCACCTCAGGTGGTCACCATAGGGACTGTAGATCTCTGATGTTTTCTCGCCACTCACAGTCCACACTCCTTGCCTCAATGCGGCAAGTTCTATGCCAAGCCTCTTGTCTTGTACCTTTCTCGGAACCTCCGCCAGTAAATGGTCCGATAAGCTCCTGCAATCCGTGTAGTACACGTGTGCCATTCGTCTCTGAGTTTCTTCATGCCAGTTCTTGAAGTCATCAAGTCGTCCGGTCAACTCACAAATCAGGCATCGTAGGCGATCTCCATGTTCGACTGCAGTTTGCAGAGCATATGCTTCTGCTTGCAATGTAGCACGACACACCCTTTTGAGGGTAGTTGAACCAAAGCTGATCAGATGCATTCTGTGACTGCCTTCTTTGAGGCTGCTCGCATTCGTTATGTAGTGAATGCGGCCTTGCTGACTCTTAAAGCCTTCTTCGTTTGCGAAACTTGCGTCGCTAAATGTCACAACTGCCAGATCGCTCCAGTCAATCCAATCACTCTTGAAGGTGATCTGCAAGTCACTTCCTTGAAGTGCCAATTCAACAACCTTGTTGGCGTTCTTCAAGTCTTGCACTGTTGCCTTTGCGCTACATGCACGCTGCATCTCATTCACACGGTAACAAAGGTCTGGTCTTCCATAACGGGCAACCCAAGCCAAACTACCAACAACGCTCCTGAGGCTTGTCAACTCCTTCTCTGTCACCTTTTCCGACAGCTTCCGGTGCTTGTCGATTTTGATCGGCTTCACTGTTCTGCAGTTTTCACTTGTAGAAATGCTTACGGAGTAGTCCTCATGCTGTACGAACTGACGTCCGCAGTATCGGAACCTTCCCGATTCTGTCTTGCCAATCGTGAACCTTTTGAGGATACCTTCAATTGTCTTCTTGCCTTCGTCAAGGTAGCAATACAACAAGTCGTCGACATGTGTCGCGACCATGCCTATCAACTTTCCCTTGGAATTGTGCAAATAGTACAATGCCGGTGTAATGCGACTGCACTTCAACCCGGCACTGGTGATCTCACCATTCATCCTCAAGTAAAAACCTCTGCCAGCGTCGATCGTGCCATAGATCGGAAGGCGTGCAACTAACATTGCATCCGGTGGAACATCCGGGCTTGGAATTCCTCCACGTGGCTGTTTGAGCAACAGCAACCTCGTCATAGGCTGACTTTGAAAATACGCTGAGGAAACATCTGCCGCATACAGGGTCACACGATGGCTTGATGCGAAGCTTGCAATCAACATGTGTCCTTCAGTCTCAGCGGTAGGGCTATCGCAGCGAATACCCTGTGAATCACGGCTCACTTGTTCGTGATTTCCACAAGCTACTAGCCGAGATCTGTTTTCTGGCCGATGCTCAGGCGTACCTGTCAGATGAGCTTGCTTATCCACATCTACCCATTGCATAGGAATAGGAACATGCCCTTCTTGAAGTAATTCTTCCAATTCCTTGCCACGTATAGGCATTGCAGCATTGAAGCTCCTATACTTGCTCCACCCTGCACGACGTGCATCCAAGATGCGGGCTTGCATCTCGGGAGTGCATCGGTCGTATTGCAGCGTCTTTGCCACCTTGCCAACCTGCGTCTCACTGTTTTCTCCAAAGCGTTGAGCCACAAAGGCTCGAAACTCTGCAGCATCGAGTTCAGTGTCGTCAGCAGCGGCCATGGCGATCAACGGGTGTTTTACCCGTGTAAAGATTGTGAAACCTGTCCATGCGCGAGAATCAACATCATCCATGCCCGGCATGGACTCGCTGGTCATTCGACTTCCGTCTTCATAGACTTTTCTGGTTACGCGTCTTCCTCCGAATCCTTCCGGAACATCTCCGTCATGCAGCGGATGAAAGTCATGGAATCTCCTCTTGTTGTGAACACGAATTGCATGATTCTCAGAGATTCTCCAATGATCTTCATTGTCAACCAATGCAAGCATGACCTCATCATCACCACCAATGCCTCCGGGGGTCATCGGAACTGCGACTGCGCTTCCACTCGCGCTTGCAGATGATCGGGCAGCCTTGCCCGTCTTATCTTCTGCTTGTGCTTCTCTCTTTTGTCCCTTCTTAGGGCTTGCTTCTTCGTCCATCATTCGGATGTACTTCTGCTGTCCCAATGTCACTGCCTCCGGGAAGACTGGGATATTGTTTAAAATAGAGTAGGCCAAAGATTCACTCTCATTGGCTGATCTAAGTTTTCCGGCAGCACACAAAATAGGAATACCTTCATGTAGCAACCAGATGCCATTATGCGGGTCGATGCCAATCACACGCGAAGCAGTGGACCACACGGTTCCACCTTGCTGGGTGTCTCGACGGTAGACCACAAGGTCTCCAACCACAAATGACTTCTTGTTCTGGACTGCGGCATTCCTGGTCAATGCTCTTGCAACACGGGAACTTGTATCCAGATGGATGAATGCCTTTTGTGCAGCCATACGGGATGCATGACACAAATGATAGCTTGCTGCAGGGTCAAGCTTGTTCTCCAAGATGCCCAAGTTTCCTGCCTCATCCATATCTGTCACAGATCCTGGAATTCTTGGGTTCCTTCCCAGGACCCATTGTGCTGGAGAATAGCCTTGGACTCTTTGCATGTGATTCTTCACGGAAGTGCACTCGTGCAAACATGTTTCAAACGCATTGCGACCAACGGCTTCCATGTCATGGATGGTCTTCCTGAGAATTGCCTTCAAGATACCTTGGTGCCTTTCAACCTTGCCAATGGCTGAAGGGGTTTCCAATGGTGCATAGAAGATCTCAACACCGTGCGAAGCGAACAGCTTGGATACCTCACCTCGGTTGTGGACACCTCTATCCATGATTGCGGCCTTCGGAAAACCTGCCCAACTGATCCATCTGCGAAGGATAGCTTGTGCACAGGCTTCTGACGTTGGCATACCTCTACCTTCTTTGACAACCTCTGACAAATGGAATCCTGTCGAAATGTCTAGCATCGTGAGAATGCTGTACTTGCTTCCTGCATAGTCCTTCATTTCTGTGACATCAAGACCAAGCATGGCATTGAACTCATACTGGAAATTACTATTTCCTACCGGATGATCACGGGGACGTGGTGCAGTGTCTTCGCAGGACTGACAACGGACGAGACGTGCAGCTTCGATCAACTCCTTGCTTGCCTTACCTGCCTTTAAGATATTCTTCAAAGTTGACGGTGCGGGATGTCCGAACTGTCGATGCAAGCGACGAATTGCAATGCGAGTCCTCTGGGGGAGAGCACGCCACAGTCGTCTCCGTTTCTGTTCCGTCATGTCGGCTCCGGGCAATGCAAGTTGATCTAGCATGAGTTCTTCTTGTTCTCTTGCCGTCAACGGTTTTCCATCATCATGTTTGGTTTCCTGAAACACTCCCTCAATGTCACTGTCCTCGATTTCAGAAATGTCTTCGAGTTCGTCTGCTACAAAACATGTCCGTGCAAAATGCTCCAAATAAGTTTCTTCTGACATGGTGTTCAACATCTCTAGGAGTCTTGCCGATTTCGCGTCTTCGAAACATTTTGGGGTCATGTTCTCTCCGCACCAACCTTCCAGCGCCTCCAAGAGCTTGGGGCTTTGTGGACCTGCCAAGGCAAACTCTAGGTCGCCACCAAGACAAATGGAGTGTTCGACAGATATCTCGAGAAGTGGTGTGAAAAGAAGAAGGTTGCAACCATACATGTCGACTTCCATGAGCATATCATTCCAAATCCTCCTGGGGTCCGTGTTCTCCAAAAACAGTACAACCAAACCAGGGATCTTATTTGAAATGTGCTTGATGACCTCCTTGCGGGTCTTCACCCAGTTTGCACCTACATCGAATATCTTTGCACTCTGGGGTGCATTGATCAACATGTCATCCTTGACAATGACCATGTGTTGCACACTCAACGGGTTGTTCGAAACTAGTGCATGCAAGACTGAGTCATTCTCTTGCAAAGTCTGCAGGCCGGCGACAAACACTTGTTTTTCTCCTTTGTTCATAGTTCGGTGATCCAGAGCTACGAATGCGTGACCATCGCTGTCGGAGCTCAGCTCGATCTCTCCTTGGAAGCGGCTCATGATGAACTTGTCTCGGTCGAGCACCTCACGCGAACTGGTCGGACGATCCGGAGTGCTTTGTGTACTCATGGTGACTACGTCATCGTCTGACAATTCCTCTTTGGGTGCGTTCGACGGATCGATAGCGGTGCAGCCATGGAACGGTTCAACAGGTTCAGCATCAAGTGCATCGTCCATCTTCTCCTCCTTGGGAGTCTCTTCTGTCGTCTCCACTGGTTTTGCCATCTCTGTGATCTCTGTCTTCGTGCGTTTCGAAGGTCCTCCGCTCGGCCCGTCTCCATTTTCTTCATCATCACCAGGCGGTTCTTGACCACCATTTCC